ATGTTAGCCCACAGGGAACTGCCAAGGAAAAGGCATTGGCTTGCTCAGGGAAAGAGATAAACAACAGACTGAGAGAGTGGCTCTGATACATATGAGACACTCTCTCCAACACCCCATTCCCTGCATTGGAAACTCCTAGAGCTCTGACAAGAGAAGAGGGAGGGAGGAGCTGAGCTCTTCCTTCGTCTGCTGACTATAATAAGTAGGGGACAAGCTTCACTTCCTCAGGAAATTTTCAAGCCATGTTATCGCCAAGATCTGATACGCCTCCCTGGAGGACATGCTTCCTCCATCCTCCAAGCTGAAAATCACTAAAGCTGTGAGCCATCATTTGTTTGAAGGTGTCACATTTTTACATTGTTGAGGTATAAAACAGATTGAGAACCATTGTGTTTATGACTGAGATCAATATATGAGTGGGATTGGGTGGATTAGGGCACATTTGGATTCCTCATTCATTGTTCAGCAAACAAATATTGAGTGCCTACTGTGGATAAGGCATTATTGTAGATGCTGTGGGCATTTAAAAGGCAATATATGAATTGGTGTTTAATGGGTATATACTTTCAGATTTGCAAGAGAAAGTTCTAGAGCCTGTTTCACAACAATGTGAAAAAATATATGTGTGTGTGTGTGTATACATTTTTTTTTTTTTTTTTTGAGACAGGGTCTCCCTATATTGCCCAGGCAGGTCTCAAACTCCTTGGCTCAAGAGATCCTCCAGCCTTGGCCTCCCAAAATGCTAGGATGACAGGCGTGAGCCACCACACCCAGCCAACAATGTGAATATAGTTATTATTGTACACTTAAAAATGGCTAAGATGGTACATAGCATGTTATGTGTTTTTTACTACAATTTTAAAGTGAAGATATGGCATCTGCCTCGGTGGGCTTTCATTTAAACTGGAAAGAAACATCTATATAAGGCCAGTAATACATGTAAATACCAATCAGGGTGATTCCCAGTTCACAGCAATTGCCCTGCTTTGGTTACAGCCTCAACGTCAGAAGTAAACCTGAATGTCCAATGTCCTTGCATGTTGACCCTGACCCCTGGCCACCTCCTTAGGTACACAACTGATCTAAGCTATTCCAGTTTTTGAAACTTGGAGAAAGCAAAGATAATTCTGTTATAAAATGTTCTTAAGGGTTTTGTTTTGCAGAGATTTCTGTACCTCGCTTCCCAGATGGGTTATGTTACATAGATTTTTCCAGTAAAAGTATTAGGTTGGTGCAAACGTGATTGCGGTTTTTGGCAATACAAGGCCTCTTTTCAAGGGGATTGCCACGCCCATAAACTCCAGCTGCTGACACCCTCACAACTAGCTTTGTCCTTTCCAGTCCTGTTATTAACCTCCATCTCTAGGTATGAAAACTACAGCAGAATCTTTCCAATGTCTCCCCCTATTTAGTGAAGCTAGCCACAATTATTTTCTGTTGGTTTCAACAAGATAATCTCAAAACCCAAACCAAAGTGTTCCTTTTGGTAAATAAAAATTGTCAATTGATGAGGACTTGCTGGTGATAGAGGAGGGGAAGTCGGAAGGAAAATAACATAGCTGGTTAATTTATAGGTTAACATAGCAAACTCTTGCCCCATAAGCAAGCACTTCAGCCTCAAGGAGCTTTTCATTTCTTTATTAAAGCATGGGGTTATTTTCCTACTGGAGGTTTTGGATATGGGTTGTGTGTGTAGTCCAAGCTATGCAGGGTTCCTCCCGCCTTCTCCAGGTCGTTATTCAGTTGCAAACATTGCTGGTCTGAGAAGAGGAAGGAGGAAGCTACCGGAGGCTGTGGCCTGCAGCAGAGGCTGCTTTTGTCTGGCAGCCTGAGCTGGGACTGGAGCCTAGGAGAGCCCCAATGAGGGAAAAGATGTGTATAAAGAAAGAAAGAAGAGAGCATCTTAGGAAACTCCCCTTTTGGGATGATAGAGCTGAATCAAGATTCCTCCCCAATCCTAGCAAACAGTTGTCCTTCATGCCTTTCGGGCACGCGCTGTGTACCTGCAGGTGGAAGGGTAGCTTCTCTGTTCACCCAACCGCCCATTTCTACCCAGCGCCGGCCACAGAACCACAATTAAGAGTTCAGCGAACGTTTCCTGGACTGTTAGGCGCAAGGTGGAGAGAGGGAAAGGAGGAGGGCGGCGCGGGAGAAAGAGCCAGCAGCCTCAGAGGCAGCTGAAAAAATCCGGGCTTGGGATCCAGGAGGAGAGTCCTCGCGTGATTCCTCAAAAACCTCGCGGATTTCGGGCAGGAAGTCAAAGTGCTGGCGCTAGGGAACTCGTGGTTTCGAAATTGGAAAGGAGGGAGGGGACTTGGTGGATTTAGCGACCCAGATCGAGGTCAGCGAGAAAGCGGATCTGAGACGTAGCTTCCAAGCTCCGACCCGGAAGGTGAGGGAGACTCCCGGCCTGAGGCACTAAAGCCGTTGCTCGGGAAACGGGAAGGAGGCGGAGCCTAGCTTAACTGACTGACAGGGACCACAGCAGGGGCGGACTCTGCTTCTGAACTGTCTGTTCCCAGAGGGGCGTGGCTTACCTTTGACCGCGAGGGCCGGGGGCAGGGCTTAAAATGGACAAGCTTCACTGAGAGAAATGGGGCTTGGCTCTGACTTGTAGGGCACCAGACCCAGCAGACTAGGCTAGAGTCTGTCAGAGCCCCACAGTGCCAGAGCTGAAGCTGGCCCTGATTACTTGTCCTTAGGAAGCCTGTGTCATTGGTTCCAGTGATCCTGGAAAGGAGCAGGATATCCGTACTTGACCACCTCCCTATGGCCAGGTTAGACTTAGAACATGGGCAGGGAGAGAGGGAAGGTTGTGGTCTTTCCGGTCTTCATAATAGGCAGGATGGGGGCTCTGGAGCAAATGAGGCCAGGCAAGGGAAGAAGATGGGAGGAAGGCCAAGGACACCAATGCGGGCTTCCAGAGAGGGTTCCTGGAGTCTGAGGTCTGGGGGGAAGACAGGAGGCCCACCGGAGAATGGGGCAGAGCACTTTCCAGTGAAAAAGGTGCTGCCTTCAGCCCAAATGCTGACTTCTGAGGAAATTTCCAAGTATAAGGAGGCAGTTTGGAAGGTATAACTGGCTAAGGTTTGTCCCTAGAGAGTCTGTGATGTGCCCTATAGCTAACTCTTTTGATGTGTCTGAGAAACTGGTGTGGAATTAGGAAGGAAAGATGACAGAGAAGCCCACTAGTGCCCTGGCCAATCTTTTCTCTGACATGGTTTAGTGTTATCTGTGGAGCACAGATAACTCTGTTACAAAATGTTCTTAAGGGTTTTGTTTTGCAGAGATTTCTGTACCTCACTCCCTAGATGGGGTTATGTTACATAGATTTTCCAGTAAAAGTATTAGATTGGTGCAAAAGTGATTGCAGTTTTTGGAAATACAAGGCCTCTTTTCAAGGGGATTGCCAAAGGCCAAAAGTGTAACTGCAGAAAGAGCTTTAAGAGTTGACCAAGGATTCCAGTGGGCTTAGTGATTGACAGGACAGGATGAAATTAAAACTGGTTATCTAGGCCGGGCACGGTGGCTCACGCCTGTAATCCCAGCACTTTGGGAGGCCAAGGCAGGTGGATGGCTTGAGCCCAGGAATTGGAGACCAGCCTGGGCAACATGGCAAAAACCATCTCTATAAAAAAAAATACAGAAAATTAGCTGGGTTTGGTGGCACGTGCCTGTAGTCCCAACTACTTGGGAGGCTGAGGCAGGCGGATCAATTGAACTGGTGAGGTCGAGGCTGCAGTGAGCCACTGATCCGTGCCACTGCACTCCAGCCTGGGCGATACAGTGAAACCCTGTCTCAAAGAAAAAAGAAAGAAAGAAAGAAAAGAAAAAAGAAAGAAAGAAAAAGGAAAAGGAAAAGAAAAAAAGAAGGTGAAAGCATCTACATTCCCTGTCTACCTTATAGTACATACTTGGTTTGACAGTGGGAGGACTGATTTTCTAATCTCAGAGCTCCCTCTGCTGGGGGTTGAGGCTCCCTACACAAGGGGAGGAATGAGACAAGACCTGCATTCAGTGGGGAGAGATGGAAGGCTGCAGGCAGGGGACTCTTTCTGGGCCCTCAGGACATGGAATCAAGTGAAGACCAAGAAGTAGACAAGTTTGCAGTTTATTGAGTAATGGCTGACTTCATAGATGTTATCACTGGGGGCGGTTGATGGGGGGAACTGCATCAGTTCTCACTCTCAGAGTTCCCCTTTGGGGAACAAATGCTCTCAGAGGTTCCCACTGAAGCCCTTTTATCTGCCCTGCCCCACCTACCACTGAAGCCAGAGGTCATGGGAGTTGGGATCTAACTACACTTGGGGATGGAATGCCACCACCCATTCCATCCCAAGCCCATATTTTATTTGGACTAGCCATTGATGCCCGGGCCCTTCCTCTTCCAGGGGGTGGGAGGGTGGAGGTAGGGACAGGACCAACCCTCAAGAAAGAAAAGAGGTTAAGGTGGGGGTTTTGCTGAATGTCTAAGAAATGTCAGTGGAACAGGCTGGGTGCGGTGGCTCGTGCCTGTAATCCCAGAGCTTTGGGAGGCCAAGGCAGGTGGATCACCTGAGGTCAGGAGTTTGAGACTAGCCTGACCAACATGGTGAAACCCTGTCTCTGCTAAAAATACAAAACTAGCAAGATGTGGTGGCACGCACCTGTAATCCCTGCTACTTGGGAGACTGAGGCAGGAGAATCACTTGAACCCAGGAGGCGGGGCTTGCAGTGAGCCAAGATCGTACCATTGCACTCCAGCCTGGACAAAATAGTGAACCTCCGTCCAAAAAAAAAAAAAAAAAAAAAAAGTCAATGGAACACGAAATTCCCTGTCTTAACATTGTACATTCGGGGCCTAGCGGCCCTTGAGGATATCCTAGTTACACCCTCTCTGATACCTGTGGAGTTTAAGCACCATTCCTACAGCTGTGTCCCTTGGGAGGGGGTGCAGTGGGAGCTCTTAAAGGGGAATGCTTGCTCTGCCTCTGTGGCTTTTTGTTTGGGAAAAGGAGTTGGGATTGTAGGATTTAGATTTGAGGTCATGATGTCAGAGCACACCAGGAACTCCTAAGACTGTGCCTGAAGATGCCCACGCTGCCGAGTAGGGTGCTGGGGGAGACAGCGAGGGCAGTACAGGACACAGGCGCTCCTTCGTCTGGTAGAGAGGAGGAGGTGAAACAGAGCTATTCCAGAATACAGGGGATGGCACTGAGGGATGCATAAGTCCCCTGCCTCCCTTGTCCAAACATGTTCTCCTCTGCCAGCCCAGTCAGCTTGGGGAGCTAGATATCAGAAACCTGAAGGATTCAGTCCACTTTGGCCTACTAGTGTCTATAAGTCTATGTCCTGAGATCCTGGGGCTCCTCCTATGTCTAGAAGGGATGAGGTGCCATCAAATATAACTTGGCTGGTATAACAGTTTAGAGAAGGAAGTCCCACCTGTAGCCTGGCTGGCAGGCAGGTAGACATGAGGCTGAGAAGGGAAGCCAGATGTCAGAACATACTAGGCTAGCATGCCTGCTCCTAGCTTTCAGGACCCAATGTACAAATGCACATATGTATCATGTATGTATATGTGTGGACACTCAAGCACAGGAGGGAGGGGTTATGCGTTCTGCTCTTTGAAACCAGAGAGGGGAGGAAAAGCCTTATGGTGGTACCCTCCCCACCCTAATAGGTTGCTACCCTCAATGGCCATCTGCCCACCAAGGCCCCTACCCAGTGCTAGGCAGATAGGCAAGTGGCAGGGGTGACATGACTCCACTAAAGCAGCAGCCCAAGGAACTGAGGGAGGGGACAGAGGCTGACCCTCCTCAAAGCCCCTTGTTGTAGTAGACCACTTCTACGCTGGGGTTTTGCTCATGGATCTGAGCTCTCAGCTCTGGTTCCAGCTTGCTTACGTTTATGGAGCTGCAATAGAACAGCACAGGCCGGTTAATGTCCCCCGCATCCAACCCCACTCAGGCCCAGGGATTGCCATCCCACCTCCTCCCAGGCTGAAGAATCCTCTCCTTCTACTGCCAGAAGGACTGGCTCACTGTCATTCCCCCACTCCCAGAATCCGTGGAGTGCCTGCCAGGCCGCCTCCTGAACACACTGGAGGACCCTAGGTCAGCTGGCCCAGAGATGCAGAGTCCAATCCAGAGTCCCCCGCCCAGCCCAGGGACAGCACTTACCTCTTCTGGGGGAATAGGGCACAGCACAGGGGGTCGCAAATACCAGGCTGGGGGAGACGAGTGTTGGAAAGATTTGTAAAGCTTTGACCTTAGGGTGTTCCCTCCCTACACCCCACTCCATCCTTGGAGATAGCTCCTAAGGGTGGAGATTGATAAAAGCTGAAAGGACCTTTAGGAATAGTAAACCCAACCTAGACATCTGGTTCTGAGGAAAGAGAGCCCCACAGCCAGTAAGTGGCAGAATCAGGAATTAAATGGGCATGAATGTCCTGGATGGCACCAAAAGGTACATTTCCATGGTTTCCTCTTATAGATGAAGACTGGAACCCCCTCACTAAACTCTTGACCTTCAAGGACAGGGACCGCCCCAACACACAAAGTAGACCCTATAGGTGTTCAAAACACACACCCACTGAATGTATGAATGGATGATGTCTATAAACATCTTAAAGACAATTCATACCTACCCACATCCACCATGGACAAAGCACTCCCACACACCCCAGCTAATTCCTTGCATACTTACCAGAAGCCCACCAGTCCCACCTGCAGGGGCGCCCCCAGCCAAGGGCGGCGCTGTGGAGAGACAGAGAGACAATGGAATGGCTTATGTCCCCTGCCTCACTGTCACCCCATTTCACCCACCATGGCTCTATCCCATCAGCCTTGCCTTGGAGCCCTTAGACCTGTGACTCTTTTCTTTCTCCCAAAGCAATGACAGAGCTGGGACCTTTAGATTGCACCCTTCCACTCCAGCCGGGCCTATATGCTGATTACCCTCCCTGGCACCCCATGACACATTCTCACCTCTCAGAACTGGTTGCCATGGCACTCCCCGGCCCCTTTTATTTCTTCCCTCACTTCCTCCAGGAGCTGATTTCTTCAGGAAACTTCCTCTGAACTTCCACTTACCTCTTCCCATCCCAGTGGCATGAATCTGACCCTTTCCAAGCATGTCTCTTCCTCGGCACTCTTCTCAATTTGCTCTGGCCATAGGGACCACCAACCTGTTCCTCAAATGTGCAAGCCCCTCCTGCTGCAGCGCCCTTGCTACTGACTATTTTCTCTACTCCAAACACTCTTCTCTGCATTCTTTGCCTCTCTCCTCATCCTTCGGGGCTTTAGAGACCCCTTCTCTGACCATCCTGTCTAAACAGCTCTCCCCCATGAATCTCAATTACACTGTCCCACTGCTTTCCTACAAAGCACATACATATTACACTTTCTAAGAATGTATTTATTGGGTGCCTCCTTGTTTATTGGTTTCTGCATCAGACTATAAACTTCAGGAGGACAGGGGCCATAACCATCTTGTTCAGTGCTGTCTCCTCAGCCCTAAAACATCCCTGGTGCATGGCACTCAATACATTTGTGAATAAATTATTCTGTGAATGAGCCAGAGCTTGTTCCTGTGCTTTGCTTTCGTGTCCTGTTCATGTCTGTGTGTGTGTGTGTGTGTGTGTGTGTGTGTGTGCACCCATGTGTACCTCTTAGTATGGAGGCACTAGGGAGTGAAAGAATGAGCGTAAGATCAAGTGTGACTATGACAGTCCCCTCCTTTGTGTATCAGAAGCCCCTGGAGTAACACTGATGAAGTTGGTTTCCTTCCCTCATCCTCTCCTCCTGCCCCCACAGTGTTCCTTCACCCCAGCGCAGTTCATTCTTGCTGAATGAATGAAGGTGGAGGAGGTGGTGCAGGGGTCAGGAGAACGGCTGGCAAGTCTTAGAGACTCAGACCAGGCTGGAGAGAGGGTTGGGGCCTGGTCACTTCTTCTCCCAGCCATCCCCCATTCCAGGACAGGAGAGGTAGAGTTGCCTACCTTCAGGAAGTCTTTCTTCTCCAGAGTGTCCATGATCAGTGGGGGGATGGCTGTGGGGAGAGCAGGGCCAAGAAGGAGAGCATTAGTAGTGGAGTCAAAGTCAGGAACTGTGAAGGGTGACTCCCCTCAAAGCTCCTCCCTCTCTCCCTAGAGCCCTCCAAAGTCCCTGAGAACTGCACCTGCTTCTCTCAGAGTCTCCTGTGCCCCACCCAGCCACTCCCACCTTACCCATGGCAGGAATTGCCATGCAGATTCTTGAAATCACCACCTGGAAGATTCCCTGCTTGGCTGCGGTCACCGAGTAGCCAAGCCTCTGACCTGCCTCATCAGCCACCGGGATGCCCACCTGCAGCTCTCTGTGAAGGGAGCAGGATTAGGGTCAGATCACAGGCCCCGGATCCCGCCTGCAATGCCCGAATGGGCAGCGGCTCCTCAGGGTTCCCTCACACACCCCAGACTCAAAGGCTGGTTCTCCCATCTGAGGATCCCAGGGTCAGACTGAGCCAGGGCCCAGCAGCTCATGTCTGAGGAGGGAGAGGGATGTCCCCATTCTGAGGTGGTCTGCATGACTGGACACTGTGCTACATTATACCGGGCATGCACATGCCAGGAGCCGGGGTCACTCACCTCTGCCTCATCAGGGGGATGTTGATGCAGTTGGCAGCTGCCACCGCTGCAAAGGGCACAAATCTGCCGACCAAGGGGGGCAGGTGCTGCGGAGGAAGGGTGTTGTTCAGTGGCCCTGAGGGCCATGGGGTGGTGAGGGACTCTGGGGAGATATAGGGGGCCTATAGGTCAGGACTGGAGGCGTGATGAGGAAGGAGGAGGCAGATAGAGGATGAATGGGGGGTCAGGGGAGTAGAGGGCCTTTACCTTGGTGAGGGATTTGAGTCCCAGGGCCGTGGCCACAGCTCCAGTGGTGGCACTCACATAGGCTGTCCCCAGCTGCCTGTGGGTGGAAGAGCCAGGTCACGGGGAGAGGTGAAGAGTCCAGCAGGTGGCCCTTTCCTTTAGGGATATGCCAAGTCCTCAATACATGAGGCGTAAAAGGGGAAGCTTCTTGCAGAGGAAGCCCTCCCTCCATCTCCAGCGTAAACTTGTCTGGGAGCCCCAGTCACACCCTGTGAAGAGGGGTGGGTCCCCCACAGCATGCATAAGAGGACCTCATGCTTTCAGTTAGGCAGGGTAAGTTGGGGTGGGGCAGGCTGAGGAGAGAGCGCTGAGCACTGGCTGCAGGGACTGCAGGGAGCGGGAGAGAAAGGAGAGGGCACTGTGGGCTGGGAGAAGAGGGTCAGATGGGACAGTGCAGCTGCTGCAGGGGGCCGGCTCTCACCTCACGGTGATGGGAGTGTCGCCACTGCGGTTGGAGTAGTTAACAATGGCATTGAAGGACTGATTCACCCACTGCCAGAACACCACAGTTGGGGTCTTCCTGAGGGAACAAAGATACTCACTTCTGCCCCCCGTACAGTGGCCCTCATCTTTAGACCCCTGTAATGAAACCAAATTACTCCCCAAGCCTAAGAAGGGACCCAGTTGATGGCCGTAGAACCTGCTCTGGTAACCCCTATGTACCCCCACCCCCATTTATACAAACACACCTACTGTCTCTGGGGTGAGAGAACTGCTGAGGCTGAATTCTGAGGAATGGAAGGGATTCTAACACAATCTTTCACTCACCAAATTGGCCCAGACAAGAAGCACCTAGTCAAGCCGTGCTCTAGCTTAGGGCACTCAAGAAGGGGACATGGGACAAGACCTGCCTGTAGAAGGTGAGCATGCAGCCGGTGATGGTCATGTTCATGGGCACCTGGGCTGACATGCGGCCAATCAGGACCACCTTCTCCCCTGTGTCCGGATGGAAGGCAGAGTCATACACATACTTGGCTCTCCACAGCTGGTCCTCGGTGATCCCTGGGGTCACAACGCCAGCCCTGCAGAAGTTGGCAAGGAGCAGACAAGCTATGCCAGGGGGCAGATCTACCCTCACAGGCCCCATCTGCCCAGCTCAGGGTAACTCTGGACAGAAAACCAGGAACTTCAGCCTCTAGTCTCAGCATAAGGGAGCTCCTTATCTTCGGAGGAGGGCCAAAGTTTCCCAGAAGTGGAGGCTCCTATTTCTATTTCCCTTCTAGCCACACGAAGAGGGGTATCCTTCTGTTTCTGCTAAAATGCTGGGTCATGGGTGATGGTGGTTTCCAGGGGGTCAAAAATGGCTGCGAGCATTGCAAGAGTTTTTCCTCCCAAAGATAAGGGGAATTCCCTTCTATCTTCCTGGGACTCCACTTTGAGCACCTCTATCCTTGCAGATGGTGACCCGGCGATGGGATAGGTCCCTGTAGAGGTTTGTGAAACATAGAGCAGCCCTTCCCATAAATATCAGTGCCATCTTCTCAACCCAAATGCTCTAAAATCCTTTGGGTTAAAGCTCTGGCCAACAGAGGGGGCTAGAGAGTGAGGGGATTGAGGGACAGGGTCACTGTCAAGCTTGAGGAGGCAGGTACAAGACATACTATATTAATCCCAGAAAATGAGATCCTGGCACACAGGGTCAGACTGGGGGGTGGTCACCTGTAGTTCTGCACGATGTTCCGAGAAGTTTCCAGCTGTGCCGCGGACAGCAGCAGATTTCGAGGATCAGTAACAGTGAAAAAGTGCCGGGCTCTGCCCAGGAAAGTACTTTGGTCCCAGCGAGGTTCCTGGATGTTTATGTCTAAAGGCAATTCACCCATTTTCTGCAGGACAGACACAAGGGTCAGAGCGGGAGTCCAAGGGTCCAAGGGCTCCAGCTAGGGGAAATTTTGGTGCCCCTGTCCTGGCCCCTGAGCTTATCATCAGTCCCTTTAAGAGCTCAAGGTGACCAGAAAGGTAAGCAAGGGTGTGGGAAGGAGCTGTTTCCTCAGCAATGTCCCCGCCCAGGGACCTGCAGCCACTGGAGGAAGGGGAGGGGAAGACCAGAAACAGGAAAACAGATCTCCTTGTGCTCTATCCTGGTACAGATTTTCATGAGGGAGGATTTACATGTATGTGGTTGACACATGAGCAGCAACAAACATCTCAGCCACGTGTACTGCAGACACACAAGAATATATAACATATATATTACACACCCATGCTCAGGTGAGCTTTAGGTCCCAGCTGCCCTGAGACCTGGATACAAATCCCCAAGGCTATTTTGGAAAATGGCATAAGACATCCCACACTCCAGTCCCTGATTGGAGGAGAGCAAGGCCTTACTGGCCACCCAGGGCTTATCTGTTTCAGATCTCAATCAGGGAACTCTGATGTCAGCCATGTGTGTGCATGTGGGCACACACAAGTCCCCTCTACAGATCCATTTTCTCCAACTCACACTGAATGACTCCAGGCTCTCCCTGGTCCCTGGCCAGGTAGGGCTGGCACAGACACTCATCCACCTCTCTGAACCACTTGCCTTCGGATAAGAGCAGGATTCAGTGGCTGCTCCCTCCACCCAGCACAGAGAGGAAAACCTGGTGCAGCCATCTGGCTGAGTTGGGCAGAATCCTACAGAATGACTAATCCTCTCCAGCCACACTTCCTCCCGCAGAGGCAGACACGCCCTCCCCTCACACTCACATACCCACACACAAAGACACCATCATGCACACCCTGCCCAGACATACAGAGTGGAGGTGTCCTGTAACACCGGCCCTCAAAGACTGTTACAGGTGCACATTGTGCCCATCTGCAGACACTTGAATGTGTAACTACACACAGCCCCACCCTGACATTCCTCCCTGCAACCTCCCTTGTGCCCTGTGGACCTCCATAGAGCCGAAAATATTGACTGCACCAGGACAGATAGTTTCAAGGCAGGCTTCCTTCTCTGACCCGCATTCCCGAACCCCGCCAGCTAGGGACAGCGAGCACTTACGCTTTCCAGGGCTCCCTGAAGCTCTCAGAACCGCCTTCCTCTCTGCCTCCGCTGTCGCCGCCGGGCCCTCCCAGCCATCACGCGGGACGTCACGCGTGACGCCGACCAGCAGGGAGGGGCAGGAACTTCCCGGCCGCGCCCACCCAGTGGGCACGGGGATTGGCAGAAACTGGGGGAGGTGGGTGTCATTCGAGGCGATCCCCCCCACCCCGGCCTGGGCCACCGGGACCAGGCCCTAAGCTGCTTCCCAGAGCCAATCCCACCTCGGGGATCAGTTCTGGCCCCCTCCCCAGCCAGAGGGAGGAGGGGCTGGAGCTGAGGGCGCTGCTCCCTTTGTTTACAGTCCCCTGGCGGGCCTCAGCAGACCCCCAGCCCTGCAGCAAGAGGTCTAGGTGCCCAGAGAGAAAGCCCAGGGTGCAGGTGGACAGTGTGGAGGGGCGGTCCTCTGCTGGCGCGCCGGGAGGGACTCGGGTTACCACCTGGCTTGTTTACTTGATGGCTGCCTTGGCAATGGCCTCTGGCTGCTTGCCCCCTGGGCTCCTACCCTAGTATCCACAAGCTCCTCTTGTAGCAGCGCGGCATTTGCATCACTTCACAGCCCTGTTCCTGTCGTGCCTGTGCCCCTTCTATGTCCCCAGCCCTCTCCCTGCTCTTCCTCTGTAACCCCTAGCTCCACTGTGTCCCTGGTCTCCTTACACTCCCAACCCCTCTCGCTGCACCCCAGACTGTAGCCCCACCCCTGGGATGTGGAGGGGCAGACGACCCCAGGAACCTCGCGGTCTGCATCCGAATAAGTGCATCAGAAGGATTCTTAGGATTCTTCCCGTCCAGGGACCAGCTGCCCCACCCTGCGACCATTCCAGAACTGGGTAGCCTGAGACACCTTCTGACAGAGGAGGAGGATGCAAGTGAAGAAGGCACCCCCTCCGCCACACACATACTCACAACTCACCCAGTCACCACACAGAGCACGCCTGCAGCAAACGCAGGCTCACGTCCCGCTCTGCCCGGTGACGTCCCCCCACGGAGGCCTCAAGGGTGCCCACGGAGGGGTGGCAATTCCAGGAGCCCAGGTAGCTGTCTTGGCTCAGAGAAGAGGTGCTTCTAGCGGGAGGGGAACAAGCCGAGACCCAAGTCCTAAATTTGCGGGATGAACTAGGGCGTCAGAACCAGAACTGGGGTGGGTAAAGAACTCCGCTGCCCGGGACCAGGTAACACCAGTCTGTCCCTGGAGCGCAAGGGAGGTGTCGGAATAGAATGACTGACGGCCCTACCAGCCAATGGGAGCCCAGGGCGGTGCAGGCCAGCGCAATTCCCGCAGCCTCCGCGGAGCGTGGGTGGGGTTTGCAGACTGCCACAGTAGCTCTCGCGGGAGGGTGGTTTGACAAGGCTGGCGGCGCCACAGCAGCGACCAGGTGAGGGGGACCAGGCACAAAGTGGGTGGGGGACCTGGATGGCCGAGTTGATATTGGGGTGCTTCATTCTGGGTTCCAGAGCTTCTCTGAGGGAATTGGCCTTGGGTTTTGCGCGGGATGTCGTGGGACCCCTCTCCAGCGGATCCTCCCCGCAAGCTTGGGAGAGGTTCGTGCAGACTCTTTAGACCCGGAGCCGCAGCCTGGAGTCCGCGGGTGTCTGGGGGGCTTCCTCGGCCTCAGCTGTCTAAGGTCCTGAAGCCCTGTCCTCGAGGCCCAGCCCGCCCCACGCCACCCCCACCCTATCCCGGACCACCCCCATACCCGCATATGCAGGAGAGAGGTGATGCCATGAGCTGTCTCGACCTCTCTTTTGTCTCACACCGCTCTAAGCCCCAGCGCCCTTAGTAATCCCAACCCCACTCTCAACCTCTACTGAGGACTGAGGACGGGAGTAGATGACTCAGCCGCCAGCAGCAATGAGGGGTGAAAGGTTCCCACCTGTCTTGTATAAAGTCAGCGAGAGTCCACGATGGTGCCTGGATGGGGCAGTTCTCTGGTCTGGGGTGAGACAGGAGGGGGGCCTAAGGCATGGGAGGGCAGGATGCTTAAACCAGCAGGGAGGGGTGGAAGTTTTGGAGGGCAGCAGGGGAAACATTTACACCCCTCCCTCATCCCTGCTCTCCCTGCCCAGGCCTGGAGCTCACACTGCTGAGAGGCATCACAAGCAAGGGCCTTCACGTTACTGAGACCCCATCCCCGCAGAGAGGCTCATGGAGCTGGAAGCACGCGGGGCTGGCCTCTCCAGAGCTAGCAGATTCCTTCTGGACCTGTAGGGTGCCGCCCTAGCCCAGCCACCATGGCGCAGGGTTTCGCAGTGGGCTTCGACCCACTGGGCCTAGGAGACCTAAGCTCCGGCTCTCTGAGCTCCCTCTCCTCCCGAGGCCACCTAGGCAGCGACTCAGGCTCCACCGCAACGCGATACCTGCTAAGGAAGCAGCAACGGCTGCTGAGCGGGCCCCCCCGCGGAATCCGAGCCTCATCGCCCATGGGACGCGTCATCCTCATCAACTCACCCATCGAAGGTGGGGTGGGACCCAGCCACCAGCCTGGGTTGGGGAGGGTGGGGGTAGGGGACAGTGGGAACTCAGCAGGAGGAGGCAGAGCCTGTATGAGTGGGGGAATTCAAGAGATTGGAGTCACAGGGAGGTGGCAGGCAGCCTGGGAACCCATACACTCTTCCTCACCTGCTTCTTCTCCAGGCCAATCCTGCAGGGGTCCAGGGTGGTAGAAGGGTCAGAGGAGGGAGAGAAGGCCATGGCAGCAGGGAAAGGCATGCGTGTGGTATGCTAGCCCCAGGTGGACAAGGCAGGGATTGAACTGGCCTCTTTCTCCCATGGGCTCTGCCCTTCTCCAGATCCATTGTGTGTACTTCTGGGGGATGGGGCAGGATAAAGGAGGACATCCTCCATCAACCAGTACATTGTGTGACAAGCTCTGTGCTGGGCTGCGAGGAGTCAGTGCCCAAGTGGGTAGACAGAATTCAGGGCTTCAGTGCTGAAGGAGGGGAATGAAGGCAGCACAGCAAATGTTCAGAAGAGGAGGGTTGAGGGTGGAGAGGGAGCTCCATCAGGGAAGGGGAGACCTAAGCTTATGTAGTTGCTTAATGCCGCTTCATGGAGCACCAATTCTATACCAGCCCTGGGGAGGTGTTACAAGGGACCCAGAGAGAAATCAGGCTCCCTCTTCACCTTCCAGAAAACTACAGTGTAGCAGGACAGAGCAACAAGAACAGCTGGTGGCAGGGGTGAGCTATCACCAACAAAAGCTGGAAATGAAAAGCATGGAGCATGGTGGGTGGGCACTTAGGAGCCAGCCTGGCTGCAGTGACAGATGTGAGGCGACTAAGAGCTGGTGAGCAAGACAGGACCTTGAATGCCAGGGGCGGAGCCAGGCCCCCTGAGTGTGGGCTTTCTGTGGGCAGGACCAGATAAATATCTCCAGCTCCTCTCCTCTTTCTTGGCCAGCAGAGCTGCCCTGGCTGGATCCCAGACTAGACTCTTCAGGCCCTGTTCCTCCCGCTCTGATCCAGCGGCCCTGTTCCTCCCGCTCTGACCCAGCGGGGCATCTCTGTTCCCCTCCCTAGGCCACCGAAACAGGGGTGGGCATGTTGCTCAGGGAGCAGGCTTTCCTCCACCAGTGGCTTGGCACGCTCACCACTGTCATACACCAGTCTGTGCCTCACCCTCTGGTGAGCAACAGGGCACTGCTGAGGGTCACCGAGGTCATTCTGTTCAGGGAGCAGAAGTCTCCAGGGGAGTTAAGAGACATTGGGGAAAAGGGAAGCAGGCACCACAGCAGTCTTTATTAGTCCCATTCTATGAAAAGAACTATGCTATACTCCCTCGAATACTGTCTCTCTCTCTCTCTCCCTCTCCCCCCTTCCCTTTGCCCATGTATGATGCAAGGGCTGTTTATACTGTCTTTTTGGTTTTTTTGTTTTTTTTAGAGGGAAAAGGTCTTGCTCTGTCACCTGCCCAAACTGAAGTGCAGTGCAGTGGTGTGATCATAGCTCACTGCAGCCTTGAACTTCTGGGCTCAAGTGATCCTCCAGCCTCAGCCTCCTGAGAAGCCAGAACTATAGGCATGCAACACCAAGCCTGGCTAATTTTATTTTATTTTACTTTTTGTAGAGACAGAGTTTCACCATGTTGCCCAGGCTGGTCTTGAACTCCTAGGCTCAAGTGATCTTCTGACCTCAGCCTCCCAAAGTGCTGGGATTATAAGCCTGAGCCACTGTGCCGGGCCTATACCATCCCTCTAAAGATCCTCTTCCAGGGTTTCATGATTGCTTTCTCCCTCTGCCTCATGCAAGTGCCACTGTGCAGCCAAGGAAGCAGGATCTCCTAGCAAGTGAGGGACTGGGGAGTTGCTCTGACCACTTGGCTTCTCCTCTGACTGGGCTGGGACCCTCTGAGTTCAGAATTCTCCCCTCTGCCTGAGCGCAGACATCTTCCAAGTCCCCGCAGCCTGGAACCCTGCCCCATATTATTATGTAGATCACTCCCCGGGAGTAAAGTAGCTGATAAGGAATAAACAATGGGAAGAGGGACATTGCCACCTACATCAGCCCCATGAGACCCCACCAGCTCCTTAAACTCAACTGGTCCCAGAGAAAATGAATTACCTTTAATCCAGGAAAGCATTACCCTTAATGCATTTCTCCTCACTCTCCTAGTTTGTCCATCCATTCATCCATTTACTCTTTCACTTATTCAAAAAAATACTTATCAAATACCAAGTGCTGTCCAACATATTGGAGATATACTACAAGAGAATTACAAAGTCCCCACCATGATTGAGCTTACAGTCCAGTCAAAAGAGACAGATAAATAAGACAAATAAGCAAACAATGGCAAAGGATGAGAAGAGTCAGAAGGTGATCATCTGATGATATGATAGAATGGTGTTTCTCAAACCTCAGATGCCTCAGAATTGCCGGGAAGGCTCATTCAGGGATAGATTGCAGGACTCAGTCCCAGAGCTTCTGGTCCAGTGGGTCTGTGGTAAAGCGAAAGAATTCCTGTTTTTAGCAAGTTGTCAGATGACACTGATGCTGCTGATACAGCACAACGCTTTGAGAAGCCCTACAAGAGGGAATCACTGGGAGGAGGGGTAGGATACTCCAGGAAGCCTTCTCCGAGAAAGTGGTGTCTGACCCAGGAGGGAAATGAGGAAGAGGAGCTGACCTTCTAAAGGCCTGGGCAGGAGCACTGCAGGCAGTGGGGACACTGGAAGGGCTTGACCTCCACGAGGAACAGGAAGATCAGGGTGGCCAGAGCTCAGTGAGGGAGGGAGGGTGGAAGGGAGGGCGGAGGGGTGGGCAGAGGGAAGCCCAGGCAGGGCCTTATAAGGCATGGTGAGGAGACTGGAGTTCTAGAAGCAGGAACAGGTGTTGAAGTTTTTAATCAGGGAAAAGACATGATCTAATGTAAAAGCTGACTCTGGGTACTATATAAAGAATAGCTGAAGGGGGCAAGAGCAGAAGCAAGGATAGTGCCGGGGCTGCAGTGGAGCACCTGGAGGAGAGGCTGGGGCAGTGGAGGTAGAGAAGTTTCCATCCTTGCAGGGCCCAGACTCCTGGAAAACCTCAGATTTCACATTCCCTGACCCAGGGCCCTAGGGGGGCCCCAGTGAGGCCCTGAGGAGAGAGGGTTGGGAGCAAGGGAGCAAAAGGCTCCTTGGCTAAGGCTGTAAGTGGCCTGAGATCTGTGTAATCTAATCAGCTGGGAAAGCCCTGGCCCCCCACATCTGTCCTGCACCACCCCTCCCCACAAGCTGCCCTTGGGGATTTCTTTCCGAGCTGCCCTGGCTGTGCCCTGTAACCTGACTTCTCTTAGATCAAATTGAAGAGTGTGTGTGCGTGTGTGTGTCTGTGTGTGTGTGATTTCTCCCTGTCAAACACCTCTAGAGTAACCCTTACCCACGAAGAAATCTCAGCTTCTCACCTGGGACCCAACTTACCCCTCCAGCCTTCTTGCTTTTCTGTAACTGGAAGGCCTCCTAAGGGCCCACAGCTGAGCATCCCTGGCTCCTTCCCCCTCATCAGTGCCACTCCCTTTCCCCTTACCCATCAAAATCCCACCCATCAGAGTCCTTACAGAAACCTTACTGCCCCGGGTGCCTTGGCTCATGCCTGTAATCCCAGCACTTTGGGAGGCCGAGGCAGGCAGATCACTTGAGGTTAGGAGTTCAAGACCAGCCTGGCTAACATGGTGAAACCCTGTCTCTACTAAAAATACAAAATTTAGCCTGGCATAGTGGCACATGCCAGTAATACCA